GCGGGAAGGGACCGGCCTGGAGGACAGGAGGCCCACACCCACTGGGCCCCAGGGRGAGCGCTGGGTGCCCTGAGCCTCCCCAGCAGCCCTGGAAGGCCCCCTGAAGCCCAACCCAGCACCGACCTGTCCGTTGCTGCCCGCCTCCGGAGGCCCCCTTCCATCTAAGCTCAAACCTGGCTCCCCAGAGTCAGCCCTGAGTGCAAGCTCTGTGCTCGGCCAGCTGGGCCACGCAGGGCCTCTGGGGCGGCTAAGCTGGCACCACCCAGGAGGCCAGGAGAGCAGGGTGCCCAGGAACGCTGCTGGCCTGTGGGAACAGGGGCCTGGGCCTGGGCCCTGACTTGGCCCAGACAGCACCGTGCTCAGCCCTCCAGCTCCCCGCTCGGCTGGGCCTCACATCCTCCCGGTCGGCTAGGCTGCTTCCTGGGGCCCACAGCTGCCCAGTGGCCAGGCCCGACAGGCCCAGGCAGGTCACCTGTCCTTGATGAGCTGGCAGAGGGGAGACGGGGTGCAGTTCTCGGGCAGTGTGGAGTGGCTGCCCCCTGGCGTTGTGAGGGCCGGGCGCCTGGTGGTGAAGCTGCCGTGRGGACAGTGTGGCTTGGAGGGGTCATTCACCACCCACTGGTCAGCTGCGGCCTCGCAGTTGGAGGTGATCTCTCCACTTGGCAGCACACAGTCGTCYGCAGTGCTGTTGGTGCAGGTGCCTGTGGCGGCAAGGATGGTCCCATGGCACCAGCACCGGCCTGGACCGTCGGGGCCAGGGTGGTCCCTGGGAGACCATCCCTCCCCCGACCCAGGTCCCTCATGGCCAGCCCCCTCCTGTGGGCTCCCCACGGGGACCAAACCCAGAACCACACCACAGCGCCCCAACAAAGGGGCAGAAGGCCCCCAGCTCCCAAGGTGGGGCGGGCRGGGGCTGCGGAGCTCACCACACTGGCCCTTGGTGTTGTTGCCAAACAGGCGGTAGGGCAGCCTGATGGAGAAGGACAGCCCATTGTAGGAGATGAGAGCGCCCAGCTCGGGGATGTCCACCACGAAGCTGATGCCTGACTCGTAGACCTGCAGCCCGTACTTCTTGTAGGGCAGGGCCACCGCCTGCTTGTTGACCTGCACCTGCAGCCAGCATTCCTGGTCAGGCGCCCCGGCAGGAGCAGGAGCAGGGGGCAGCCAGCTAGAGGCCTGCCTGGCCCTGCCTCRCTCGTCACCTCTGGGAGCCGTGTGTGACGCAGAGGCCCATCTGCACCTGCAGGAGGGCAGCCCTGACCACCYGCCCTGTCCCCGGGAGGAGCTTCTGCGGAGACCTGTGCCCGGGCGGGGCTTGAGTGGTGGGTCGCAGGGTCCCTGAACACACCTGGAGGGCCTGGGGAGAGCACGCTGTGTCCCCAGGAGACCCCGCCCCATCCCACCTTCCAGCCCGKCTCCKGGGAGRCTGKGTAGGGCCCTTGCTGCCGYCCTCTGCTGGGGGGACCTCGCTCAGAGCCCGGCCTGCTGGCCCGCTGTGGACACTCGCYGGGCCCACCCCACGCACCTGCACTTTGAGGGGCATCATCTGCGTGGTCTGCATCAGCACCTCCTGGGTCTCGTGGCGCACGATGAGTGTGCGGGGGCAGGACACCTGGTCGTTGACGTCACAGTGGTAGTTGTCGATGTAGACCCCGAAGTTGTCCACCTGCGGGGTCACCTCCTCCACCAGCACGTAGGTGCAGTTGCCCTGGTAGCTGTAGTACAGGCCGTCGAAGGTGACGTAGTGCGGGTCCCCCCAGCCCGTGCAGTAGCCTGCAGAAGAAGCTCAGTGAGCTGGCGGGCAGGGGTGGGGACYGCCACGGGTCACAGTCAGGATTCGGGGTCAGGTGGGGAGAGCGGGCCTGAAGAGCCTGGTGCCCTTGGGTGTGAGAGCAGGCTGCACCTGGCTCCCCACCCTCCACAGGGCCCTTCCGCAGGACAGGGCCTGGGTGTGGAGCCAGAGGGGCCCCTCTCACCTGGAAGGCCTCCTCGTTCTGGGGAGGTCCCCAGACCTGGGGCAGGAAGGAGGGCGAGAAGTCCCCGGGCCCTGCGCCAAGCCTGCAGCAGGTGCTCAGCCCTCGGACTCTGCGCCCCAGGGCCTGCCGCCTGCTCCCAGGAGACCAGCCACGCCACCCTCCACCAGAGAGGGAGTGGCAGGCAGTCCCCGAGCGACTGGGAGGGACTTACAGTCACACTCCCAGTGCCAGCAGCAGCCGTCGGGGTCCATGACGCGCACGGGCTTGAGGCCATTGGAGCAGGTGGGCATGGGCGGCGGCTGGCACTCCTTCTCCACGATCTCCACCACGTTGTCGTGCTTGCAGATGGCCATGGTGCAGTTACACAGCCACCAGGTCTCGTTCTCCTGCAGGACCAGGCCCTGGGGTCAACAGGCTGCACGCGGGCAGCCCGGCGGTCCTCTCCACCCCAGAGGCGGCCAGCCACCTGGCCAGGCCTGGAGAAGGCCCAGGGCTGCAGCGGACCCTGCACTGCAGATGGTGCAGGGAGCGGGAGGAGCGTCCAGGAGCCTCAGGCCTCGGACGCCTGGACACCCCGGGCGCCGGGGGAACGAGGCCACCCTGGCCCACTGACCTGTCTCGGAGGATYGAAATCTAGGCACCCGGTGGGCTTGGTGGTGCCGGGTGTCGGCTTGGAGGATGTGGTCGCCGGCRTGGAGGGCTTGGGTGTTGAGGGTGTCAAGGGCGTGGCCACCGAGGACGGAGTGGGCACCGAGGAAGTGGGCGTTGGGGTAGGCGTGGACGGGCAGGACCAGTTGAAGTACTGCAACTYACAGTCAACGGAGCAGTTCACGTAGTAGCAGGTGTCCCGAATGGTGTTGTTGTACACCACGTCACCTGCGGGGAGAGACAGGTCCAGTCCCCATGCCACCCAGAGGCAGGGTGGCCACCTTAGAGGACGCAGGTCCCGTGGAAGACAGAGAAGGCGCTGGTGTGGGCCCAGACAGTCATGTGCCCCAGGGGTGCCCGTGTGACTGTCCCTGGGCACATGCTACAGGGTTGGGCTGTAGATGAGGTCCTCGGGGTGGGACCCTGGGGTGGCATTAGTGGCTTCAGAAGAAGAGAACAAGGCTGGAGCCAGCCTGCTTGCCCAGCTCGCCTGGGAATGCCCTCTGCCACGTCAGGATGCACAGACGACCTCACCAGGTGCTGACACCACGCTCCTCCCAGCCTCTAGAACCGTGAGCCAAATAAACCTCTAATCTCTAAAAATGATCTAGTGTCAGGTAGTCTGTCATGGCAACAGAAATGGACCAACCACCCTGACCATGCTCACGAGCTGAGGGACCCTGGTCCCTCTTTCCAGCCAGATGTCCCATTCCACCCTTGTCCTCCCGCCTCCTGAGCAGGTTCCTGGCTTGGACCTTGCCTGGTCCTTAACCTGCCACATTAAACAGGGATCAGACCCAGCTTCGGCTGCCTAGTGTGGGGGGTGGACGGCCAAACACACCTGGGATGTAGTACGTGTCGTTCAACACGCAGCAGGTGGTCGAAGTGCCCGTCTCCCACGGGGTGCTGGGAGTCTYGATCGGGGTGGTCGTGGCCAGGGTGGTCTCCAGTGTGGTCGGCATGGTAGAGGGCACAGTGTGGGGAGTGGTC